ATATATATATGCAGTGGTTGCTGGTGCTAGAGATTGAATTCAGAATTGGGTGTGCTTTAAGCTTGCGTTCTACCACTGAGCAACATCTCCAGCCGCTATCTCTGCTTTAAATCTCATTCTTTTGATTTTGTGTTTTTGTTTATCCCATTCTCTCTGGTCATATTTCTCTACACCATGAATCTCCTGATTATCTTTTCATATCCACCTACCCTCTTCTGTCCCATGAACTTGGGCCTGTGTATGTGTATCCTTTGGACATTAGACCCATTCTGCTGGATTCTGAAGCAAGCCTGGCACCTTGTTTTTGGGCCGTTTTCTGCCCTTGCAAAGAATTTAGGGCAGCCTTCATGTTGCAGTGTCACTTTGTCTACTCTGGTCAGGCTGCTTTAAAAGAGGTCAATCAGTGGTGCTGCCAGTGGCCAACTAGTGTTTCAAACAATTTCGTATCTGTAAATCTAATTCCTTAATGATGTGTATTTAAAAAATATATTACAGCCAGGCATGGAGGTGCAGGCCAGTGATCCCAGCACTCGGGAGGCTGAGGCAGGAGGATTGCTGTGAGTTTGAGACCAGCCTGGGCTACATCGTGAGTTCCAGGTCAGTCTCAACCTCATAGTGAGACCCTGTTTCAAAAAACCAAAAACAAACAACAAAAAACCTATCTAAAAAATATACTTTGGTGCACACAAAATATTGGAACAATAGTTTGGTGGAGGACACAAAACAGAGCCTTTTTCTCATTACTCACGTCCCCCAATTCTCTGCTTTCGATGTGAGCAGTGCAAATATTGTCTCTTTGATGTGTTCTGATTGCTGTAGGTTTGTCTAGGGCCAAGTGTAAAGTCTCATAAGATGCTTGTCTTCCACCAATATCTACAGTGAACCATAGAGTACAGTCTCTCTTGCTGAGTCTGCACCATTCCCAGGGTTCCTAGCACAGCTTTATCACCTGACCCCTTCCCATAGTAAAAATTTTCCTCATCCTTCGAAAATGCATAAACACTTTCGGTTATAGTAATGGAAGAAAAGTCTTTAAAGTGAAATGCCTGATGTTTGATGATAGTAGAAATCATTTGTAAAGTATAATGCTATTTTGGTTTTTTTTTTAATGTAAAAGGAATCCTTATCTTTTAGAGATATATACTATAATATTTATGGACAGAGTGATACAATATCTGAAATTTCTTTAAAGTGATACGAGAATCCATTTAGCAACAATGATGAAAAAAAATCCAACATGAGAAGAGGTCTATAGGTGGAGGTTAGATGAGGTATGATCGACTGGGAATTGACAATTGTTGGATCACACTCCAAGATGATTATTATATCCTTTTTACCTTTTATATGTTCAATTTTTCATACTACACAGTTAAATCTTTTAGGTCATTTGTGGTTCAGTTATTTAAAAAAAAAACACAAAACTTCCCCCAACCCAATAGAATAAATGGCACCCAAACCACAACTCTTGAGCATAGACAATGTGTGAATTTATTTTAGACACAGGCCTCAGGCTGAAATGAACTTTGCTCCTCCTAAGACTGGTTTCCTTCTTCCTCTCCCTACTGCCTACTTTCTATTCTGTATTTTCCCCCTAATGCCTATTTCTCAACTGCCAATTATCATATTTTTACAGTTGGCATCTCCTCTTCTATCTTAGGGTTTTCATCTGCCTTTCTGGTTTACTTCTCAAGTCATTTTGTTCTTTGCCTCATCCCAAATCCTCCTCACATAGAATAGTGAAACCTACTTGGCGTCCTCGCCCCACCATTAGTCTGCAGCAGCTACCACAAGGATCCTGCTCTGCTCTTTCCGTTCTCGGGGGCTGGTGTGCCAGGAGGGCCAGGAAAGCAGCTGCCCTCATTTCTTTTGCCCACCAGTCTCCTGGCTCAGACCTGAAAGCTCATCCTGGGTGCTTGCAGTCTTTCAACCGCGCATCCCCTTCACAAGGGGATTTCAGATATTGCAGATTGGAGGCAGGTGACCTTTCTGCTCTGCTCTGACAGGCCCTGTGGAAAGCACCCCAATGCCCTATCCTACCTTCTTCATCCTTATGAAGTGGAAAGTCTAGATGCAAGTTTCAGAGTTTCTGTTGGGGGAAATTTCTGGGATGTCTATTCATTTGCAAGTTTTTGTACCCCCTTTAAATATACAAGTTGTTCTGAAAGTCCCTAAAGCATTTGTTATAATTAGTGGGTTTGCAAATGACTTAGTTTAACAGCATCTCCTTTGTACAATGCTTTGTTATCCTTTTGTAACATCACAACATCTGGTTTGTATTTTCTGTGACTACAGGTGAGAAAAGCCACTCTCTACTTGGTTGCAAATTCTATTCCACTGTCCAGATTTTCCCCCCCTAACAACTTGCTTGCTAGTCCTCCATCCCTAGCATGACTCTTAGATATTGCATCACCACTTCCCTTTCGCCCAGTGCTCTCTGACCTACCACGTGAACATGTGAAAGGAGGCGGTCAGTGTACCACCAAGCGTCACAGCGTTGGCGGCTTCATTCATTTTGACCTACAGTTAGGCCCGGGTTGGGGAACTGAGGGGGAGGTACTGAAGCCCAGAGAGGGGAGACGAAGCAGATAACTGCTCACTTTCTCTTCTCTTTTTGCATTTCCAGTTTTAGAGAGAACGCGCAAATGTCTCAACTGTAACAGAGGCCTCCACTTCAGCTTGTGTTTCAAGGACACCAGGAGAACTAAGTTTAATCCGTCCAGCCCCAGCAGCATCCTCAGGACCAAGACCAAACAGGGTAAGAGAGAAAAAAGAGGACCCATGAGGGCACTACAAATCAATTCTAGGAAGAGGAAGAAGAAAGGGCCAGAGAAGTAGAACAGACCAAAAAAAAAAAAAAAAACCGAGCAGGAACATTTACTCTTTTGCTTATTTCTGGTGTTAGAAGAAAGCTAGATTGTCCTGTGATTTATTTCATTAGAATGCATTTCACTGCTGAAGAATTTAAAATACCCACTTAGTAGATGAACTATTGATATATGAGGAGTTTGTGATCTTAATTCTACCCAACATTCTTCTCTTTAACATTGTACTACGGATACATTTCTGTCTACACAACAGGATTTTTAAGCTATAACTATTGTTTCAGTAGAACATTCAGAAAATGCACAAACTGTAAATATGCAGCTTGATGAATGGCACAGAACAAACACACCAGTATAATACAATGTAGCAGCATCCCAGGCAAGGAATATAACAACACCCCAAAGCCTCCTTGAGGCATTAGGCTTCATCGCAAGTGTTATCGCTACCTTGACTTCTAAAGCATAGAGTCCATGCTCCCCCAAGCACTGGTTTTGAACTTCTTATAGATGTGACCTAAAATGTTTTTCTTTTGCTTTGATTCTTTCTTTCTGTCCAGTATTCTGTCATAATGATTGTGAGAGTGACTCAATTCTTGTGTATGGCCGATATGTCTCCTTTTCATCATTGTATAGTATTCTGCATTAACGCACCACAATGTATTCAACCATTTTATTTTTGATGGGCATTTTTGTTGTTTACCCAATCTGAGTTATTACTATAAACAGTGCCTCTGTGAATATATTTTTACATGACTTCTTCTGGACATGCATACTTTTTTTCTGTCATAGGAATAAGTATGCTGGGTTATGTGGTAGGCATATATATCTTTATAATAACAGTTTCCTAAAGTGGCTGTACCATTTTTATACCCTTGCTGATAATGTATAGGAGTTTAATTTATTTCACATTCTTACCAACCCTTGATACTTTCAGTCTACAAAAGTCTAGGTCTTTGAATGTAATTGCTTTAAATTCTTTTGTTTAGATAGAGAAGGTGCATATGTTCTTCTTGTATAAATTCTGCAGGAGCATATAGATGTTTATTTAGTTTTATTACAATGATGATGTGTTCATTTAAAGAAATCCAGGAATTTTTTTTATCACTTTGATAATTGCTTAGTGATAGCTCACTGTGGTTATAATTTTCATTTCATGTGTTTAGCAGTTGTTTGGACATCCTCTTTGGTGAACTGCCTGCTTAGTCTGTCTATTTTTCTGTTGCACTGTCTGTTTTTCATATTGACTTAGAGGAGATTTTAAATATACTCTGGATGAATCCTTTGCCAAATATGGAGTGAAAATATCTCCTTTCCCTCCCTGGCTTGCCTTTTCATTGTCAGTGGTGACTTCTCATGGAATAGCAATTCTTAACCTTAATGTAGTTGATATATTTGGGAATCGTTGCCTGTTTTAAGGTCATAAAGATATCCTGTTGTTTCCTTTCAAAAGTCGTTTATCTTCCCTTTTACATTTCAGCCTACCATATGTCTAAAATCATCTTTTATGTGCAGTTTGAGGTAGAGGGTCAAACTTCTTTTAAATTTATATATCTAATTGATCCATTATCAATTATTTAAAAGACCATTTTCTCTTCCATATAATGTGAATTCTAATGAGTTCATGGCATTCCATCATGTGGCTGTGCTACTTAACCAGTTGAGAGAAAATTTTATTTTGATCATTTTTGTATATTTTTTAAAATTTATTTGCTTTCAGATGAGTTTCTGAAAAGAAGACCTTACTGGAATGCGTGCTAAGGTAATTTACTCTGTAAAGAATAAGTATCAAGATGATGAAATGAGCAAGTATTTGTTAAATATGACAAAATTCTTAGTTATAATTCTGAATTAACTGTTAGTAAACCACATACAAGATAGATTTTAAAAAATGAATTCTGACTGGAATTCTGTTGATTACTATCTTTGGGTGGCTTAGGTTAAATCCTGTTAAAGGTGGTGTTGATCTTGTTTTATTAGATGTACATGAATCAGAATAACAACTATGCTTCTATATTTTGAATATTAATTTTTATTTTTGAGAGGAAACCTGCTTTGAGGATGTTAATGCAACTAACATTTATTGTTACTACCCTTATAGCATTCATTTTCTCAGTGGCTTTTTTTAAGATAACTATTTAAGATGACATAATTTTAAAAGCATTAGACAAATGGAAACTTATGAAGATGTAACAAAGTTAGCTATAATCAAAACTTTTTTAGTATGGGCATAGTGGCACATACCAATCCCAGCACTCAGGAGGCTGAGGCAGGAGGATCACTGTGAGTTCGAGGCCAACCTCGACTACATAGTGAGACCCTGTCTCAAAAACAAACAAACACAAACTTTATCTAAGAGTTGAGTTCTACATATTTTAATGATATATATGTGAACCTTATAGTTGAAATGTAACAGTTTTGTATGGTTAGAACAGCTATTTCATATGATTAGATTTATTCTAATAAAAGGCACATGAAGTCAATTTCCAAAGTGGACTTCAAATGTACTATAATTATAGCTTAGTATTGGAAGAACTTGCTATTAGTCTTATTTTTAGCTAGTAGGAACATGTCAGTGGTTTTAATTAGCCTTTGGTGTGGATTTATTCCCTTGTTAAGTTTCTATATCACAGTGAAGTCTAATGTGTTTGACTTTTTAAATTTTAGTTTATTGGTATATGTGTGCAGTACATGATGTTTACATTCCTGTGGAAAGTTGGTACAGGTACACAACACATCTTAATTCCTTTTCTTCATTCTCCCCCCCATCTCTTGAACTTCTTCCTTTTTTTTCCTTTCTGGTAGATGTTTTCTGTACATGATGTTTACATTCTTTGTGTAGAGTTGGTACATGTACAAATTTTTGTTTCACATATTTCTTATTAGTGCATATTAGTTATATAGAATAATGGGTTTTATTTCAGCAGTTTCTTCTATAACATACTTGATTCTTCCCACCCCACCCACCCTTTATCACCGTTCTTTGCCTAATCCCAGTTTCACATTTTAGGGGGATAAATGTATATAATATATAAAATTAATTTTAAGTCCCTAATAGTCTGCCATTTAAAATGGTAGTAACCAAAATATGCCAGGTGGAAATATGAGAAAATGATAAAATGGAAATAAAGTATAAATAGGGAGGGGAGGAGAGGGTGAAGGGGGGCAGGGACAAGGGGAAAAAATGAGAACCAAGACCTGTCATGTAAAGGTACAAGATCCCAATGATGAATGAAAATGCCTAGATGAGTTAAACTGTATACCTAAAATATATCAATAAACTCAATGAGAGAAAAAAAAAATGCCAGGTGGGTTATGATGAGTAAACCCTTTTTTGTGTTTTGATAAGCAAGAATTAGTAGTTTTAATGTTAAAAGTATGACTAATCTGCAGTGCATAAAATGCATTTGAATTGGATTTTAGTCCTTATGAATTATATTTATTTTTTCACAGAACTTGTATTAGTGTACATTTACTTATGTTTACCTTTACATACAGTAACCATTTTTAGTTCTGCAGAAATTATTTGAAGGTGAATAAGTGTTGTGAAATTAGATTTACCAAGACTCTTATAACTTTTACTTTCGCATGTGCAAACTGTTATATCTTTTTAAATATCATATCACCTTATTTCTTTAGTGTTTCTACTGAACAAAATAGAACTGAAAGGTGGAAATTATTACAGCAAGGCTAGTGGGTTGTGGAGAGTGATAAATGTCAGAACTTCCCAAAATGTGTTTCTTAAAGTACTGATTCACAAGATTAAAGCAGTGCTGAGTTCAAACAAAACAAAATAAAATGTATAGAGGAGTCAAACAAAAGTTAGCCAAGTTTTCCCATTGCTGAGATATTCGGAGCCTTTAATATGCTAATGTGCATTGTGAGGGGCCCAGTGGTGGTAGGATAGGAGGTGGCAGTGCAGTATAGTATTTCCCAAACAGAAATTTGAGGACAACTCCGAGGTCTAATGTAATTTTTCTAAAACTGTCCTTAAATAATGTTCGATTTCACCTGGGGGTCTTCAGTTCAACCTAGCCTCTGAACACTCCTCCCAAGACCCCAAGTCAGAAACAGACCTGATAATTTCAGTACTTTTCTTATATATTATGTTACCAGACTGAAGTTATTGTACTTCTTGTTTCTATATGGAAGGACTTTATGTCCTTGAACTAGATCCCAACCTGTCTCTTCCTTCTTTCAACAAATATTTATGCACTCTTCTTTCCTCAGCTTTCTTGCCCTTGATATTCCTAAACACAGCTGATTCCTCATCAGTTCTCTGCCCAGATTAGATCACTTTATCTTAGGTTGTTCGTTATTACTCTAGCATGTCACACCATTTTCTTATCTTTTCAACCTTCAATACTATCTGAAATATTTTTTTACCCATTTGTCAATTATCTGACTTACCCCATTGGACTGCACATCTGAAGACAACAAGGACTTTTGTCTTATTCTTTGTTTTACAGGTCTTAGTGCTCAGCACACACAGTAGGTTCTTTAAAGGCCTGTCTCTGTGATCGGGGAATTTGAATTCTAGAGGTAAAGAGAGAGACATGGAATCCCAAGCATTTCCACTTGCACTTGTGGCAAACATAGGACCTATGGGACCTCCTACAAGAATCTCTGCTCTTGTCAGGGGTGAGTGGTGGGGTGGGTGAAGATGTTAAAAAAGACTTCCTACAGGCAACCTCAGAAGTGAATCTGGAAGGCTACAGAGGACATGTATAGCAGTCACCTTTACCATCGCTGGAACAAATACCCAACACTTGCCACACAACAGGACCGTATGCTTGTGAGGCAGGCTTCGCTCTGCTGAGCAAAATCCCTGACCCCTACTTGCAATTTAAAGGAGGAAGAGCTGGAAGAAAGTCAGATGATTCAGGCAAGTGCAAGTGGTTCAGGGGAGGCTGATGGAGTAGTAGAGGATATGAGTTTGGCCAGGCAGGAGGAGATAGAGATAGGCCTGGAAGATTATGCTAAGGATTTGGAACTTTATTCTGAATTTAATGGGGGAAGTAAAATTGGAAAAAATGTAACATGTTCAAATTAATATTTTATTTCTGGCAGCAGCAAAGGGGGAATGAGACTATACAGTTAGGGAGGCCAATTCCAAGCTTTCGAAGCCAACCAGAATTAATGATTTAGTTTTAGGGACCTTCATCCTATGTACTTCCCCCCTTTTCTCCTTTGCTAATAATAGTTGCATTGGTTGAAAACTTCTTTTCCTCCGTCTCTATGTGCTGTAGTGCTACCGCCTATTGTTTAAGGGCCAGCTTGAGTGAATGAATACAGGTACTGTGGGCCAAACAGAAGCAACTGTATAGCTCTGGGTCTATTTCTGAGAGTAACTGGGAGAAGAGTATCTTGATCAGTAGAGCAATGTTCTAGATACCTGGGACTATATAAAGTTACTCAGTGCTTAACTATTTCTATATGCTTGACATTATGAAATTCTGTGCTTACAAGGATTATCTGTTTAACTTGTACAACTACAGTAATACATTACTTGGTGATGGGAAATGTGTTAGGCAATTCCATTGTTGTATGAACATCATAGAGTGGCCTTGCACAATCCTGGATCTAGTCTTTTGATATAATCAAGCAACACAGCAAATGAGATGTGTGAGGATGTTGCTTTCCTGATATGGCATATTGTTTTGTTTTATAATCAACTGAAAAAAATTACATAAGTAGGAAGAGTAAACTCTAATACAGTGATGAAGGTATATGGTAAATACACAAGCCAGTAACATAGTCATATATTATCAAGTTATTGTATACCATACATAATTGCATGTGCTATACCTGTATGTAACTGGCAGTCACTAGGTTTGTTTTTAGTAGCATTGTCACAAAAGCATGAGTAATATATTGTGGTTCAACATCACGATGGCTATGACACCAGTGGATGATACCAAATTTTCAGGTCCATTATAATTTTATGGGACCTCCTCATCTATGTGGTCCATTTGTGATGATGTGGTGATATATGATTGTGCCTATGTAATAGTATTATTATTAACTTTACATCACAGGTTAATCAAACAAAGCCTCTTTAGAATTATCTCTATCTCCCTGAAATACTGAAGCAAAGTTATAAAGAGAACAAATCATTGTAGACCCAGAACATTCTTATATTGGAGTGCTTTTCCATACTGTAAATTTGTTGAGAGTCATTTCTTTTTAGGAGGGTTTATCTAGTTATATTTTCAAAACTGGAGCCTGGCAATAGAAATACCTATTTCATTAACTTTCTGTCTAATTTTCTCCACATAGAATGAGGCTCACTGAAGTAAGACATGCTTAACACATATTAGAGAGACTGATTAAAACCAATTAATGCAAAAAGTAAAGATTAGAGATCTATTAATATGCAGAGCAAGGAATAGAAAAATAAAATGTACATTTCTAGAGTTCAAATGTTATGCAATGAAATTTTGAAAATGTGCCCTAATTGTGAGTGATATAACCAACCAGACTTCATGTCACTACTCAGAGTCTGTGCAGGTAGAAATAGAAATAATGAAGCTGTTTTAGGGTGCCTGGTGATATAATGTAAGCTAGTCCTCAAGAAACGAATGTATTAATAACAAAGTAGAAACTTGAGACATTTCCTAAGTGTTTGGGAAAATCTGGAACTTTCCTGGAGCAAAGTGATACGTGGAACGTAGTGCCTGATACTCACTAGACCTGTGGTAAGTATTCTTTTTCATCCCTTTCCCTGCTCCTAAGTAGTGAATGTGGGATAGAGAGACTGAGCCTTCTTATATTTCTGACACTTTGATCCACACTGAGACTAGGTTTACAAGAAGCTACTGTAAGAAAGAGAACAAACACTTATGGAACCAGGACAAACTTGTAGGTATGGGGCAAGCATATTATTATTATTTTTTAAAATACCTATTTTATGCCAGCCACTTTACTTTGTAACAGGATTGAATTTTACATTCACAGTAATCCACACTTTATTTTGAAAACGGGAACCAAAAAGTCAGAAGTTTAAAAATTGGCCCAAAGTCACATGGCTGCTAAGATAGCATAGTTGGCATTTATCCAGCCTAGACTGTGCTTTCTTAAACTATCCTATCCTGAAAATTATCGAGGTTGGTAAAGGTTAACTATGTGGGGAGAATTAGGTAGTAGTGCAAGATGACCACCCAGCTGATTTGCTTCAGGGATGATACAGAGACATTATTCTTTCCCACTCCTCCATGCCTGTGTGTAAAGTAGTAATATTATTTTCCTTCTTGTGAAGATAATACAAGTTTAGTTATAGACAAACAGAAAGAAGAAAATAAGTCACCCAAATCCTGCCATCCAGAGATAGCAAGGTTAATATTTTTATTATATTTTTCTAATCCTTTGTCTGTCCTTATGAATTAATAAACATTATATTTATTTATACAACTATATGTTTTATAGAAAGTTATCATAATGTTCATACTTGATTTGCAAAATTATGCTTGCTTATTTAAGATTACACATGAAAGACATTTTTTTACCTCAAAATTATTAGGATCGGGGATTATAACAATATTTTGATAAACAATCCAGTCTCATTAATGAAAACATTACAATATTTATTGAATTTTTTGAACTGTTAAAAGAGAAGTAAAACTAATAAGAATGTTAAATACTATTTATAATTACTAAAATAATATTTATTATGTAAAGCATAGTAACCTAATATTGCATAAATTTGTTGATGCTTAACACTATTATCAGTGCTAAAATGGCTGCAAGTACACAAAGTCTGGAAGTTATATACTTTGAGTTAGCAATAAAGAACAACAGAATAACTTCTTTTCAGACCTCGTATTACCTGTTATTACACAAACTACCAAGAGAAGTATTGAGGACATTAAGGATTACATTAAGGAGGACATTAACTGATATTTATCTACTCTTCAATCAAATAAGATCTTTAGGTTATCTTTTTAGATCTTGAGATTTTCACTGAGTTGAGAATCCCTCTAAAAAGCAGGTATGTGAAATTCATTTCTACATGTACTGTATGAATGCTAATGAGGGCAGTGTCTGCCACACCTTTTGATGTCTTTGATATTAAACTCTTTTAGAGAATTTGTTACAGATTTCATGCAGGAAAAAATGTATTACTGAGGAATGTATATACTTCTTCTGTTATCATAATAATAGAGAATTTATTGATTGTGATTCCTAACCTCCTCATCCCCAGTCAGGAAGCTTAGCGCCAAATTCGACAACAAATCAAAGAAATTCAGTTAATTCTTAAAATTAGAATGTTTGTATATTCCACTTCTCTGGTGGTGTTTTCTGTTTCCATTTTATTACCCCCATTGTTATATTTACATATAAAGGACAATTTTTCCTCATTTCTTTTACCTCAGAAAATAAAAACAAACTTTTTTATTGAAGGAATGTAATATGAAATATTGTGCTTTATCACCTTAATTTATTTTGTTCAATTTGCTGTGTGTATGATCTTACAGGATTTTTCTTTTGATCCTCAGGATTTAGAAAGTATATTAGCATGTTGCTAGTTGTAGCTCTGTTTTGCATCATCATACCTTTTTACCTGAGGACTAACATCTCTCTTCAGAAAAACTTTCTTCTTTTATTTCTTTGATGATTTCTTCCCCTTTACCTAATCTATTCTTTCATGAGGCTAACTTTTTCTCGGAATTAGGCACTTGTAAGGGGCCCAATTCATCCAATTTGCCTGGAACTTTGTTAATTTAAGCACAAACAGCAATAGTTGATCAGCCTACACTAAACTAAGCCACTCAGACTCTAAGAATAGTGGCTTTCAAACTGTACTGATGGAGATATTTTTAAGTCCATTGTGGATTGATACTTTTGAAAATATAATGCAATATATTAAAAATCAAATTTAAAAACACATACAAGATGCAGACTTGATTTTAAAAATTGTTAGATTCAGGGCCGGGACATAGCTCAGTGGTGCTGTGACTCCTTGGCAAGTGCGAGATCCTGAGTTCAATTCCTGCTGTTTAAAAAAGTTAGATTCAGCAGGAAAACAACTACTTTGTCAAACTGCTCTGAAAGTTTTAAATGCTTACTTTCAGTTTCTGTTGGTTATTTGTAAAATCTGCTGTCACCTAGTAGTGGACCGCGCTTTGAAGAGCCTGCTCTAGGATTTCTCCAATTGTCCCTGGTAATCCCTCCCACCTTCTCTCCCTCACATTCCATTCTCAGTGGCCTCTGCTAAATACCCCTTTTGTGTTCAGATACCCCATTACATTAAGCTATGCGTTCCTTCAGAGGCAGGGATGGAGTCTTATTTTTATCTTTCAATTCCCTGGTAATCCCTCCCACCTTCTCTCCCTCACATTCCATTCTCAGTGGCCTCTGCTAAATACCTCTTTTGTGTTCAGATACCCATTACATTCCTTCAGAGGCAGGGATGGAGTCTTATTTTTATCTTTCCATGCCTAGCACCCAACACTCAGCCAGGCAAGTTTTTTTTTTTTTTTTTTTTTTTTTTTTTTTTTATTCAATGAGTATTTAGACTAGAATAAATTACAACAACAAAGCTTTAGTTATGGTTGTTTTGAGGAGAGTGGGATTGTGAAGCTCTCTTTTTTGTAATTTTCCAGTGTTAGTATTTTTCTAACATATGTATTATTTTTAACAATTGATATTGTTGAATAAATGATATCTAACTCCCCCTGACCCTTCGTGGGTAAAAAGTCCCCTTTCACTGTATTATGTAAAAAAAAAAAAAAGTGCTGAAAAATCCCTATTGTCATTGAGAAACAGGATATTACTCTCATCCTACTTGGGTTGGGAAAATCATCCAGAGATTGAAATGACTAATTTTAGAGGCAGTCAAGGAAATTTTGTACAAATTTTGTATGAATTTCCTCTGAATAGGGGATTGAAAGTGTTTCCTTTTTACATTGTGTCCTTTTTCAAGTGGCCTGTGATACTGTGAAGTTCAATAATCACTTATTTGCATTATTTCGAAGCTAGAATAACTGGATGTGACCATTTAAACTGAGTGATGGGTCCTGACTTCCTGCCCAGACAATAGTACTATTTGAACTGGCAGTTAATCACAGTTTAAGATGACTTATCTGAAATGTACAATATGACTAATTTAGCAGCTAAGCAGTTTCACTGTGATCCTGGTGTCAGTGGAATTCCTGTCACCTTTCCAACAGTTAAGTCATATTGCATAACTGTGGGGTGACATAACTGTACTACAACATTATTGGCTGAAGACAAGGCAAAAAAAGTTTCCTGGACTGCAAACCTTTTTGGTATCTGAACAAATGTGCTGTTGCAATATAGTGAGAAAGAAGAGTAAAATTGCTATTGGAAGTGGCTGGCTTTTGGTGTGGCAGTGAAACCTGTGTGCCTGTAGCACACAGGGAGATTCTCCAATGTGCCTGAGTATGAGGTCTCTTTCCTGAAGGTGTGGAATGCCCAAACTGATTCAGTGGCACCCTCTCCTTCTGAGGCATTTAATTCTGATGAGAACTTTACAGTGTTCCTTTTGGAAGGAGTAACTTAAAAAATACAGTTCACCATCTGCTATACACATCCACGCTGAAGTTATGGTCATCTGGGACTCAGTTGAAAACCTTTTATGGCTGAAAGCTTGGCTTATTTTCAAGCAAACTGGTAGTCCAGATTAATCACCACAGAACACTTGAAGTTTATTTAACTTTATAAAACATCATGCTTTAAAATAACCTGCAGGAATGCCTAGGAACTAGAGATATGGCTGACTAGAATTTATGACAACAATCACTACATTTATTATTAAGTATGTACCAGCATTTGTCTAAGTAATTTGTGAATATTAGTTCATTTACTCAGAGAAAGTAGATACTATTATT